AAAAAAAAATTACAAATGGACTATACCAGGTAAACCTGTGTAATTAGAGAATTTTTATCTAGAAGAGAAAATGAAGAACAGCTAGAGAGATCCCATTCCTTTTAAATCCTAATGGACAAGATCTGCAGAGGTCTTATGTCTTCTTCAAGGTCACACTCAGGTAAACAGCAGAGCTAGAAGTAGGCCCCAGCCTCCCGACTGATTTCCTGACCACTGCACCATGATGCCCATCTACATTATTCTACCATCATGCCTCTGGAGGAAATGGGTTTTGTGTGTTTTTTTGAGGGAAATTTTAACCTCCAGGTTTCAAACCCCACAGTGAGCTAATGGTTTCCTTTTACACTTACTCTGTCTTTGTCATGCAGCATATCAGCATAGGATGATCTAAAAAACAAACAAAACAAAAAGACAAGTCAGAAACCTCTACTAATAATGATATCCAGCAGCCTATGAGAGCATTCACATATATAATGCATTCCTAAATCTGATGGGACAAACATCCAGGCCAGCCCATTTTATTTTTCATTACTGAACCATAACTGACACCCAATGTTATATCAGTTTCAGGTGTACAACATAGTGATTTGGCAATTCTACACTCAATGCTCACTAAAGTAAATGTAGTCACCATGTAACATTACTACAATATTATTAACTATATTCCCCATGCTGTACCTTACATCTCTAATCCAGGCCTGTTTTTAAATTTTTTTTAAGGTTTTATTTATTTATTTATTTGAAAGAGAGCGATTGAGTGAGAGAGAGCATGAGCAGGGGGAAAGGGAGAGGCAGACTCCCCTACTGAGCAGGGTGCCCAACAAGAGGCTCGATCCCAGGACCCTGGGATAATCACAGATGCAACACAGCAGAGAGGAATCAAGAAAAGTATACACCTGCTATGTAAGTGAGGGGTGTCATGCCCAGCACTTTCCCTACCTCATCAGGGAGAACAAAGAGTTCACCAAACTACAGGCTGTTAAAGGGAGGAGAGCTGCTTTTCTGTATTTTTGTCACAATTCACAAACTTGGAAAATCTCTGGCAGGATCAGGATAAACCTCCAGAACTCACGAGTCCCAGCCCAAAAATGCCTTTTGAGTTCCAGGTAAGAGCTCAGACACTCTCAATCAACAGAGGACCTCCCGCTTCAGGTCAACATCAAAATCACGGGAGAGTTTTTGTTTTTTTAAAGTAGGCTCTACGCCTAACCAACATGAGGCTTGAACTCACAACCCTGAGATCAAGAGTCACATACATCACCACATCAAAAACTAATGATGTATTGTATGGTGATTAACATAATAAAATAAAATTAAAAAAAAAAAAAGAGAGTCACAGACATGCTCTACTGACTGAGTCAACCAGGCAGCCTGGAGAGCTTATTTTAAATGCACATTCCCATGATACATGCAAATAGATCCTGATCCAAAAAACTGGGCAGAATCTGGAAATATGCACTTGAACTGGTGCCCCAGGCAAGCATGACACAGTTCATACTCTACACTTTGAGGAGCACTGTACTAAAAGAATAGTGTTGTTGTTGTTTTTATTTTCTTTAATATTTTATTTATTTATTTGACAGAGCGAGAGAGCACAAGTAGGAGGAACAGTAGAGGGAGAGGGAGAAGCAGGCTCCCCGCCAAGCAGGGAGCCCTATGCAGGGCTAGAGGACCTGAGCTGAAGGCAGATGCTTAACCATCTGAGCCACTCAAGCATCCCGTTGTTTTTTTTAATGGCACAAGGCTTTTTACATGTGAACCCACCTACAAATGTGTAGTTGAAATCTGGTTCTGCCTTTCTCTGCCTTTCAAGAGGCATGTCTGGTCCCCATCTTCCCAGCTTCATCACCCCACCACTCCCCACCACTCCACAGACATCTTCCCAGCTTCATCACCCACTCTCCCCACCACTCCACCCACTCTCCCCAACACTCCACAGACACATCACTCTCCCAAAGCACTACGAGCCCACTCCATCAGTAACATCCAGGATTTCTGTCCCAGGCGGACACTCCCTTTTCCCAGAACGCTCTCCTCTTTTCCACTTTCTGGCCATTCCCTCCTGGTTCTCCTGCCTCCCCTCTTTCAGGATTCCTTCTTCAGCCCTCTACCTTTCTCATTCCATACCCTCTCTGAGAGCCTGCAATCTCTTCTAGTTTCAATTCTAACAACTGCAAATTGGCTCCAGATCCATGTTTATCTGCCCACTGGCATCTCTACCTGGATGTTCAAACCCAGATACCTAATCTCCATCACCTTCCTCTTCCCAGCAACACCCATTTCTCCTGTGTTCTCCCTTGGGAACAACAGCTCCATCCACTCCTTCACCCTAGCCAGAAATCCTGGGTGCTTCTTTAATTTTCTCTCTCGTTCCTTCACTGCATCCAATGGAGTTACCAAACTCAAGCTCCCTCGAAGCTGTCTCCTCCTCTCCCCACCTCTACTGCCTCACCTGTGTGGGGTTGCAATAACACCCAAATGGATTCCGCTCCCTCCAACCCACTTTCCACACTGTTCTCAGTAAACGTTCCAAAATGCAACCTAATCTGTTTGTTCCGTTTAACATCTCAATCACTCAGAAAATAATGTCCAGTATCTTTAGAAAGAAGGTAATGTTTTTGATCCCTTATTCTGCACCACACACTGTATTTCACTCATTCATCAAACAACCTTAAAATAAAGATATATGAAGAAATGTACATTATTACATATATCAAGCCATATATTACCATACTGAGGCTCCAGGAAGTGAAGCAGCTTGACTAATGTCAGACTTGAGACAAGACAGGCCCAGACTTACTCTCATGCTCCTCTTCCTGCATTTTGCCACCACCCTTCACAATATGACCCTGCCTACCTTTTTCAGTATCCTCTCTCACCACAGCCCTGCTTTTGTACCCCATTCCAGCCCCTTCAAACTGCTTGCAACCCCCCAAACCAGTTCATCTGGAAGATTACAGGTAATCCCTGCAGCTCAGAAAGCAATTTCCCTCCTTCTAGATTTGGGAAATCACTCAAGTATCACTCCCCAGCCCAGCTGTTCTTGCTGCTTCCACGAACTCTTGTGCCTGTATCCACTGGTCTTTCTCTCATTGTCATAATTTTTTCTATGTCTGTCTCTTGACAAAACGGCATATCCCTGGGACGCCTGGGTGGCTCAGTTGGTTAGCGTCTGCATTCGGCTCAGGTCATGATCCCAGGGTCCTGGGATCAAGTCCCCCATCAGGCTCCTTGCTCAGCGGGGAGCCTGCTTCTCCCTCTCCCTCTGCCTGCCATTCCCCCTGCTTGTGCTGTCTCTCTGTCTCACAAATAAAGTCTTAAAAAAAAAAAAACACAAACTGCATGTCCCTTGAGGATGAGAACCCTATTGTCTTCATTTTGGTATTCACAGTCCTAGCACAGTGCTATCATGTTGTATGCACTTAATGATTGCTAAAGAACAGTAACTCACTTACACAGGTTTAAAGATCCCATCCAAGGGAAAAAAAAACACATTTTTTCACTTTTTCCATTCAAGAGAATTTAGCCATATGTTAAATGTATCACCATTTCGGTAGCACAAGTAAATGATTAAATTTCAGAAACACTACCACTACCAACTACAACTACTACTACTAACTACTACTACTACTACTACTAACTACTAACTACTACTACTACTGACCCTTGGGCCGTCTTTGCTCCATGAGACAGACCCTCCAAGACTCCAAGAAGGCTGTTACATATCTGACTCTCCACACAGAAATGACTTTGCCTCACTCCCACACAAACCTACCTGGCTAAGCAGACCTGCTCATGACCAGTACCTGCCCTGAAGAGCAGCACTGGGTAATGCCTAGTCCATATTCATCGCATTCCGGGGCTCCTGCTTTGAGAGCAAAATGCCCCACCCAGCTGCAACCAATTGTGAACACACCCTTGTTACCTTGCAATCTCCTGGTGGTAATCATAGTGCTCATCCTCCTCCAGCCACTCCACAGATCCCGTGGTCGGATTGGCCCGCCCGCAGAAGACTTTCATGGTGCCAATCAGCTCCTTGGTTTTAGCACAGAAAAGCAGCCTTGCCAGCTCACTTCTTGTGGACAGGTCTAATCGTCAGAATCTATTCACATCATAATGCCCAAAATGGAAAGAAAAAAAAATTTAAAGACAAAAAAAAAAGGAAAAAGGAAAAAAAAAATCAAGACATACACAAGTGTCAAAGCCACTGAAAATATTTGTTAATCAGTATTTTAATCTTTCCAGCAAGAGTTATTTGATTTTATATTCAGCATGTAACATCAAAAACTGTAATACATAAATTCATAAAGCTATCTGGAAACTTCAGCAGTCCTCAGTGATTCCAACACAGGTCAAATGAGCCTCACAAGTGCATCTGGATGCAGCCTCAAAGTAAAGGCAGATGAGAAGAGAAATAAAGCAGAGGGAACAGGAGGCTAATAGGAAAGGAGAAACAGAGACTGGGGTGGTGGTAAAAGAGTGCCACCAATACGGCCTCAGTATATCAAACACACTTAGTTTAAGGAAAATAATAAAGGGATGCCTGGGTGGCTCAGTCGGTTAAGGGTCTGCCTTGGGCTCAGGTCATGATCTCAGGGTCCTGGGATCGAGCCCCGCATCGGGCTCCCTGCTCAGCGAGGATTCTGCTTCTCCCCCTGCTTGTGTGTTCTCTCTCTCTGACAAATAAATAAAAAAAAAATCTTAAAAAAAAAAAGGGAAAAATAATAAAGAGCACTTCAAACAAACTAGGAAAACCTTCATCTAAACAAATAAACCACAGCTATTCCAGAAATACGTTGAGCCAAAAAATAAGCAAATCACAGAATACATACGGTATGATTACATTTACATAAAATTATAATTATGCAAAAACAAGAACCATATATCCTTCAGGGATCACACTAAAAAGCTACAGAAGGGAATGAAGACAGTGGTTATCCTTAAGAGGGAAGGGAAAAGCCTGGGATCAAGAAGGGTCACAGAGGTGACTTCAAAATAGCACTGTTTCTTCCATAAATGGGTGGTAGGATTAAAGAGGTTCACGATACTGTCATTCTTTATGCCTTACCATTTTTTAGTAACTAGTACTTCTTACTCAATATTTGGTTTTAAAAGCAATTTTAAAACAAGTCTTCATCTAGGGGGTGCCTGCCTGGCTCAGTCTTTATAGAGTGTGCAACTCTGGATTTCAGGGTCTTGAGTTCGAGGCCCACATCGGGTATAGAGATTAGAGAAATTAAAAACAAATTTTTTAAAGATTTTATTTATTAGCGGGAGTGTGCCATGTGCACACACACACACACACACACACACACGCAGAGGGGCAGAGGGAGAGGGAAAAAACAGACTCCCTGATAAGCAGGGACCCTGGGATCATGACCTGAGCTGAAGGCAGCCCCTTAACCGACTCAGCCAACCAGGCACCCCTAAAGAAATAAAAATTTAAAAGAATATTCATCTAAAAAACATCCTTCAAATAAATGTTGCCAGATTCATGTCTTGTGTGAGCTATTTCCGCAGATCTATTTCTGACAGAGAAACACCACACCTCAAAGTCTGAAGGCACCTCTCTGCAAGTCTGAGCTCTTCCAGCATCCTGCCTCTTACCTTCAGAAAACATCAAGTGTTCCACACTTCCCTTCATTTCCTGTTAAACACTGATCCATCTTCAGGAAACCTTAGAAAGAATGCATACTCCACAGATCCCTAAAACGTCCCTAAGGCACTTAATTGGCCAGAATTATGGCCTTTCTCTTGAAGTTATCTACACTAACTAAACACTGAATTCTTTTTTTTTTTTTTTTAATGATTTTATTTACTTAGAGAAAGAGAGCCCTGCCAGGGGAGGCGCAGAGGGAGAGGGAGAGAGAATCTCAGGCAGACCCGACACTGAGCTCGGAGTCTGACAGGGGGCTGGATCTCACGACCCTGAGATCATGACCTGAGCTGAAATCAAGAGGCTGACACTTAAACCCACTGAGCCACCCAGACGCCCCAAACACTGAATTCTTACAAATGAAGACGGGGAAAATCTTTTCTTTAAAGACTCAGGCAGTCAGTGGTCTGGTTCAAAGTAGTCAGTTTATCCTTCAGTGAAACTCGACTTCTAAAATCTCAGTGTATCCATCCTCTCATCGAGCGGCTCTCAAACTCTGTGGCAACCTCAGTAAGAAATATACTTTACATCAACACAATACACACACATAAACATAAGCTTTCACAAAACAGTATTTAGCCTTCCTGCCAGCAAGGCCCTCTGATATATTCTACTCTATTTCATTTTTTTTTTAAATTGATCATGATCTGGGGCGCCTGGGTGGCTCAGTCAGTTAAGTCTGCCTTCAGCTCAGGTCATGATCCCAGAGTCCTGGGATCAAGCCCTGTGTCGGGCTCCCTGCTCATCCGGGAGCCTGCTTCTCCCTCTCTCTCCACCCTGCTTGATGTTCTCTCTCGCTATCTCTCTGGCCAACTCTGTCTCTCTCTCAAATAAATAAAACCTTTAATAAATAAATTGATCATGATCCACTAAACTGATTTCATAATTGGTGGGTTGCAACCTATAGGTTAAAAAGCTTTGCTAGAGGGAGCACCTGGGTGGCTCAAATGGTTGAGTGTCTGCCTTCTGCTCAGGTCGTGGTCCCGGGGTCCTGGGATTGAGTCCCACATCAGGCTCCTGACTCAGCGGGGAGCCTGCTTCTCCCTCTCCCTCTGCCTCTCCCCCTGCTTATGTACTCTCTCTCTCTCTGTGTCTCAAATGAATAAATAAAATCTTTAAAAAAAAAAAAAAAAAGCTTTGCTAGAATCAACCGTGAACATCTCCTGTGCTAATCAAAAAAAAAAAAAAGAGTACAACTATCAGAATCCATAATGTGCTTTAGAAAACTGTCCGGGGTGCCTGGGTGGCTCAGTCGTTAAGCCATCTGCCTTTGGCTCAGGTCATGATCCCAGAGTCCTGGGATCAAGCCCCGCACTGGGCTCCCTGCTTGGCGGGAAGCCTGCTTCTCCCTCTCCCGCTCCCCCTGCTTGTGTTCCCTCTCTCTCTGTGTCTCTGTCAAATAAATAAATAAAATCTTAAAAAAAAAAAGAAAGAAAGAAAACTGTGTCCAAAAACTGCTAGAGTAGAAAGAAATGGCCACATCTGGCTGAATGTTCAGTGAAGACTTAAAAGATGGCTATGATTTAAGGCAAGCATGGGAGGGAGAGGGCACTTCACCAGATTAGAGAGACTGTCATGCACAGTGAATAAACCAGTTTAGCTGAAGTAAAACTGAACAAAGAGTCAAACATGTCAGTGGGGTACATACTGTGGAGAGCCCTGAAACCCTTATCCTGTGGGGTATGTGGGACCAATTCTGAAGTCATTTAAAGGTTAACAGTGTAGTATTCTAATCTATGGAATTCCCTTTTTGTGCTCTTGCTCGGGCTTTACATAGGACTACAGTTTTTTTTCACAACCGGAGAGAAGTTACTGGTTTCATATAAATGTAAATAAATGCTTGCAGATGGGAACCATGTCTTGTAACCTCTCTGGGTGAGAACTACACATCTTCTAGAGAAATCCCCTCATTTATTATTACAACTTGTCTTCTCCCAAAAGGAGCCACACTCCAGATTCAAGAGATATTGTGACACCCCCCTCCTCATTCCCCCAAACCTGTCAACTCAATTGATGGTTTATAAGGAGGGAATGGAAACCACCCTGCCAAGCCCCAAGTGGATTACCTGTCAGACTTCACAGCAGGTATTTGGTTCATTCATTCAAAATTTAGTAAAATTTACACAATGCCAAACACTGCATTTGGGACTGGAGGACTCCCATAAACAAAAAAAGGAGATCTTTGTCCTCCAACAGATTAGATTTTAATGAGGGAGAGACGAAGGATAAACAATCCCACACTGTGTGGGTGCAAGAAAGGAAATATGCAGGATCCTATTAAAAAGAGTAACACGGCTATGGAAAGAATGATGAAGGTGCCATTTAAGTTGAGACATGCAAGATAAGCCAGGTTAAAAGTTATGGAAGAGTAGTGCTTATGTCTCCGGAAACGTTAGCCCTACTTTTCCCCTACCCCTATTTTCCCTACGGGGGAAAAATAAGGAAGTGCATAAGCAAAAACTGACAAAAGCCTGAGTGACTGAAGCACTCTGAGCAAAAGTAAAATAGACTATACCGGTGGGCTTCTGCAAATCACACTGGGCCAAGCTGGCTTCGGAAAGATGTTTGGATTTTGTTCTACATGCACTGGGAGCCACTCAAGAGTTTTAAGCACAAAAATGTCCACGTCAGATGTACGCTTTTACAGGGCCACTCTGGCTAACATGTGGTGAATGGACCGGTTTCCAACTACTCAACACAGTGACTGGGAAAAGCGAGCCCATAAGCAGTTCCCTGAATCCAAGAAACGTGGCCCAGCTAGGGGTGCGATGCTTCGAGCTCCGTTATGATTGCGGTTCGAGTCTCTGTCGCTGAGAGGAGGCGCCAAGTAGTATAATCCAGGTCCCCGTGGAGGTCACCCAACAGAACCGTATCCCAGTTCTCTTGCCAGCCCAGAGGCTTTAAGCCGCCCCATAAGGACTCTATAAAGGTCCTCGAGAATCCGGAAGAGACGGAAACTCCGGCGGCCCAATACGCCCACGCCAGGTACGTCAGCCCGAGCCCCTGGGCTGAGAAAAGATGATGGCTGCACTCGGGACTCTACTGAGACCCCTCATTTCCAACCCGCCCAGGGCCTCACCCGCCGCAGAAACCGTTCCGTTCACTTCCGCCGCCGCCTCCACCTGGCCGCGACTGGCAAAAGGGGGCGGGACTTCCCAGCGCCCGCTGAGCGTGCCGGGAGCGAGGCACGGAAGCGGAACTTTAGGGCCCTCCCGTCGCACCCCACGCGTTCCCACAGTACTCCGCGACAGCCGCTATGGAGGCCGGCAGGACTGCAGTCCTTCGCGTGAAGCGAAAGCGCAGCGCGGAGCCTGCCGAAGCCCTTGTCCTCTCTTGTAAACGCCTCCGGAGCGGCGCCGTCGAGTCGGCGACCCAAAAGACAGCCCCCGAGGATCTGGAGAGAGGGCCGGAGAATAATGTCTTCCAATTGGTGGCCACCGTGCGCTCCCAGGTATTGGGCGGGATGGAGCCGGTGTTTGAAGGGGATCTTAGAGCACTGCCGGGACGAAATTGTATCCCTGACCCGTTGAAGAACCTCCTGCTTACCCCGGCTTCCCTCCCCTACTACCTTCCAGGAGGAGCCAGTCCAGGCGCTCGTTCGAGCCGCCCTGCGCCCTTCCCAGGGCAGCCAGCAGCGTATCCGCCGCGATCTCCGCGCTTCGACTCGGGAGATCCGGCAGGAGGGCCGCTACCGGGTGATCTCTGGCCGCCGGTCCTCGGGGATTCCCTCGGGTAGCCCAGAGTCCATCGACGCACCGGGAAACCCAGAAGCCTCCGAGGACGCAGGTTTCCAGCTGTTCGACCTAGTCCACGAGGAAGGAGACCCAGAGGCCGTCGCCACCGCAGGCTCCTCCAAGGTGAGTACCCGCCCAGAGAGCACTGGGCCTCCCCGGACTGATAGTGCCAGGAGTCTGGGCGTTAAGTCAGCACATAGTTAAGAGGAGGTACACGGCTTCACCTTCCCGATGATCTGTCAGCCCTGGTAACCTCTTTTTGCAGGTTAGGTTATTCATTCAACAAGTATTTACTGAGTGGCCACTATGTGCCAGGCATTGTTCTTAGGTTCTGTGGATATACCTTTGAGGACTTAACACTCATTTTTTTTAAAATATTTTATTTATTTACTTGACAGACAGCGAGAGAGGGAACACAAGCATGGGGGTAGTGGGAGAGGGAGAAGCAGGCTTCCCGCCGAGCAGGGAGCCCCATGGGCTCGATCCCAGGACTCTGGGATCATGACCTGAGCCGACTGAGCCACCCAGGAGCCCCGAGGACTTAACATTCAGGTAGAGGAGAGAAACAGTAAAGAAGTGAAATTCAATGTCAGATGTTGATAGGGGCTGTGTGTGGGGGGTTGGGTGGCAGGGAAAGAGTTGTTCCATTTCAGAGAGGGTCTCAGAAAATGACATGAGAGCTTGGAGGAGGTGAATGGCAAGGCACTGTGGATATCTTAAAGACAGTTTGGTGTTTTCAAGATCACTGTGCCCAGAGCCTAGTGAACTGAGGAGCTGGAGCCCAGTGAACGGAGGAAAAATAATAAGGAATTTGGGAGACGATGCCTGCTAGACCCTGAAGGTACTTTTAAGGACACACTGCCTTTCACCCTGAGATGGGGAATTACTGGAGGTTTTTGAGCAAGGTAAAGATAGAACAGATGGAAAAACTCATCAAAGGGAGGTTAAAGGACTGGTCTTGCGTAGCAAATCAAGTTTGAGGCAGATTGAAGTGTAGAGTGCAAGTCTTCTCACATTTAATCCAGTGTTCTTTCCATTGTTATATTTACTAAATTTGTTTTGTACCTCAGTTCCAAAAAACAAACTCTACTACATGTATTAAGACTATAGAAATGGGGGCGCCTGGGTAGCTCAGTCATTAAGCTTCTGCCTTCAGCTCAGGTCATGATCCCAGGGTCCTGGGATCAAGCCCCGCATTGGGCTCCCTGCTCGGCGGGAAGCCTGCTTCTCCCCCTCTCCCTGCTTGTGTTCCCTCTCTCGCTCTCTCTCTCTCTCTCTCT